CCGTACGTAATTCATTGCTTAACATCTAGGTCCTAAAATTAACACTCTTTGAATAGTCTGCCACTGGCGTTGGGCAATGGCCAAGGGCTCATCCGTCTTCTTCAATTCAGTGGCAATCTTTCCAGCGAAAATCCCAAAGTATTCCACTCGGTCATCATGTAGATAACATTACTCATTATTACTTGACAGAAACTACAACTATCATGGTGGAATGATCTAGTCAAGGAATATTTTACCCCCAAGGCTGTGATGAAGCTTACATTGTGGAAGGACAATGAAAAAGCAGAGGCGAAACCTTTTGGTAAGTAATCTTGTAATATCTGACGCATTCATCAATGACAGATGAGTCTTGCCAGAAATTGGCGTCCCCATCCTGCCCCGATTCTTTTTGGTGACTACACAATCTGGCGTGAAGTCAATGACTTTATCATTGGATGGCGCGCGAGAACGGATATACAGCCAGGGACACGCTGTCGTGGAATGTGTTACTGCAGTTTGGACCTATAAGTATAGCAATGGGTATACGGTAACATTGCGAGGACCTTTGACAGCTCATGTTGTCATTGCATCAACCCAGTCGTCGTCATCGCAACTTACGGCGGCGCAAGCTTCATATCAATTAAAATTCGACCATTTCCAGTTCGACGCAAACCACCACGACAAATCCATTGCTCTAGATTCTATCGTGGGCCAGCGGCAATTTGAAGCTCCAAAGATCCGGCATGTTGTGAGCCCCACCCCGGGCGGCAGCAGTATGCAACAACAACAGCGCGAAGAGGACAAAAAATGGGAGGAACCACGAGTAGTCATCGAGCACGGGTTTCTTCCAGGTGAACCTGTAAACGCGTTCGGGATACCGCAGGCCACCATGCGATGTCTAGAGGTCAGAGATTGTGCCGTACTTTTCCAAATGAGCCAAAATTGAAATGACCGTTCGCATCAGTTAGCAGAGAGTGTAGGCGCCATGGGGGATCTGATGAATTTTTCGAATGAGAACCAACTTGGTCCTTTAGGTAAGGAATACTTATGGTAATCAAAGATCTCCACTAACGATGTATTTTTGCACCAGAGGCGCTCAGCAAATTTGCCTCTAAGCTTCGGGAAACGTATCCCATTCCTCCTTTCCCCTTGGTGAACGGTTTGGCTTATGGCGGCGTCATGCCCCATCCCTTCCAACCCTTCCCCGCCCCCGTCAATGGTGGTACCACGACATTGTACTCCAGTGCGCCTCCCTCCATCACAAACCCAACGTCCGCCGCACAACCTTCTCCACAAATGAATTCGCCCCAAAATACATCATCATCATCCACCGCCAACTCACCACAAAAACAGCACAAGACAATACCGCCGCCTGCGCAAACATCGGGGACGGCTTCGTCGCCTGCCGTGTCATCCGGGGCGACGATGAACACCCCTGCTCTGTCCAGCGCTTCGTTGAAGCGAAAACAAGCAGACGCGTCGTCGCCAGCACCCGCTGCTCCCGATCCACCTTCGAAGCGAGCCACTCGGAAAAGAGGACGGACAACGACAGGTCCCGGATAATTTCCTCTTCGTCCTCGTGTTTTTCTTTCATTTGAATCTGCCATATCTTGCTTTCTGGTTTGAGTTTCGCTAATTTTTTCGTGTGCTCTTAGATTGTACCTTACGTTATCTACATGGATCTCTTGCTGGAGACAATATGTTTTATCATTGAGCTATTTATCTCCCCCCCTTGTAACTTGTATCGCACAGAACATCTTCCCAACCACAATGCAATCATTGCCACTCGGAGATTTCAAGTGCGAGCCCGGGAGTGTCAACCGCCCACCTAAGCTCCGACCTTTCTGCGAATGTACAAGTATATCTGGGGTGATGGCTGACAGAATTACTTATAATGGGCGCTTCTTCCTTATCTCTTCTCATGCTACTGTCATCACTGCATCTATTCCTTGTCCGCTGCGTCCAAAGATATCAAAAACGACCCACCAAAGCGTCTCATTCGGGAGAACCGTCCCGTGATAACATGTAACAGTTGATGGCTTACTGAACATATCTTTGCAAAGAAATATGAGAGAATAAGATGAAATAAGGTATACACATATCGTAAGGCATTACTATATCTTCTCTAAGCCCCCCTCCCGAGAGTCTTGCTTGCTTGCGCATCCGTCAGAAAATGTCATGCGCAAAGTCACATTGATCTCCGTATTTGCATCTGTTAATTTCGGAGGTAACAATCAGTCTCCGTCTCAATTGACATTTTTTGGGGAGTTCAAATGCTCGCCTTCCTGCTGCAAAGAAACTGCATGGTTTTCTTTTACTGTGTCTATATCCACCATCATCAATTCGTCCCCGACCACGGCCACGACCTCGACCTCGCCCTCTGCCTTCCGAAGACCATCGGCTTTGATCGGTATCATCATAGCCTTGTCCAAATTCGGCCGAGAAGTGATTGGGAGTTGATGAAGGCCACATCTGATCGCTATTGCCGTATGCGGCCTGTTGTCCATATTGAGCTTGGAGAAGAGCCGGATTGGCCAACTGTTGGAGAAGGTGTTGCAATTGTTCTTGCGGTAGAGACTGTACTGCAGCTATAGTAGCACTAGGATCAAGTCCAACTGCGGTCAAGTCCACGCCAGGTGCGTTGAAGGATGCACCACTCAGTGCAGGGTCCATGTGGCCTCCCGCAAGTTGCCCAACGAGATCAGCTACAGACGCCACAACAGACGCGGGCTCACCACTCCAGAAGACGGCATCAACTTCTGGGCCCACAGTCATTGTCTTGACGTCCTTGTCGACCTCTTCTTCTGTTATTGTATTTGTAGGCTCAGCTGGTGAATCAGGGATGTGCGCAGGCGACATATAGAGAGCACCGAGTGCCGTCTGCTCTCTCTGTTCCTGCGTGACCTTTTCCTCGCTTGACTCTCCTCGTGGCCGAAGATCAATGTCAATTGGGATTTCGACGGCTGTGAGGGCAATGAGTCATCAGCGTCCATTTCCTTTACACAAAGACATGATTTGCTTACTTATAAGTTCCGTCCAATCAACCGTTTCTTCAAAGAGATGTGCATGCAAAGCAGCACCTTCTCCTCGGTCCAGATCGCGGAGACTGTGCGACACATGTACACCCTGAAATGAAGAGAAAAAACAAGCGAAAAAAACATCAATGTACAGTACGAAAAGCATAAATAAGGAAGGGTGCTGACATCTACGGGATCGTCATCATAGATAGCCTTTTCAATGAGACGTACAGATTCAAGTTGAGAATCAGGAGCCCAGGTCACCGACTTCCTCTTCTTACCATTCTTGGTAACACCAGTTTGGGGTGGCGTACCCGCAGATCCAGGTGGTGTCGACACTGCGGGAGACTCCTTCCGCTTCGTCATCGATTTCAGAATATCCTGAAATGGGTCGATGGCGGAAGGTTGCGCTACGTTCACATCTTCCCTTTTCGCCGGCACTTGTGCTGGTGCTTTTTTGAAGGAAGGAAGCTTTGCCTTTGGCTTCGGCGCTGAGAAAAAAGACGAGTCGGCTTTGGCGTCCTTGACTGTAGGGACGACTGATGGTTTCGCCTCCTTTTTCACTACCACAGGCTTGGTTGAGGACGCTGTACCAACCGCAGATTTTTTGAGAGGAGGAGGCTTTGAAAGAGGATCGTTCAGCTTGCGCTTCTTCAATTTGGAGTCTGTTTGTAGAAGCTTCAGCTTAGCTTTCGTAAAAACAAACTGACGTGACCTACCCTCTATTGTATTACTATCGGGAGGCTTGGATCCCTCTTCGACACTCGAAACCATCTGACGCCATCTTCGCTCGAGGTTGGAAGCCATATCCTTGATCGCTGCAAATTTGCAAGGCGACGGAGAAACACAGAAAGGCAGTTAGATACATGTATATTTGTAGTACGACGCTCATGTTTTCAGACAGGAAACGCCTGTCAAAGTAACATAAAACTGGATGGTTTGTCTCAAGCTCATAATGGCGAGCTGCATGTGGGATTGGTACGTCCCAGCCATTGCTGGCCAACAGACAGAAAATAAGTAAAATCAGCTCACCTGGAGACGGGGCATCTTTGACCAGTCTCACGACAATCTTGCCGAGCTTAGATGCCTTCAGAGAGTTTATCGTAAGGGGCAATCGATCGATGATCTAATATGGCAAGAAAAGAATGAGACGTATGTCACGCATCAAAGACACAGGATGGCTTACATGTAGCAAGGGCATAATAGTCTCTATCATCGCATCCTCGTCACTTTTCGCAGCGGCTTTCAGCCATTCCCGCGTTACGTCGATCGCCAGGCTGTTTTCACACCAAGCACGAAAGTAGTGATTGCCAGCGCCATCTCTAATTTTGGTCAGTATTTCCAATCGGATTGCTGCGTCTAACTCTTGGGATCCAAAATCAGCTATTCGCTCTACCAGTGTATTCACAGCCTGAGCCCCAGTAAATGCGGATGACTGCAGGAGGGGCCGAATTGAGTTTTGAAACTGTTGTTTCCGTTCTTCAGGAGTCGGACCTTGCGGAGCAGAAGGTGGCGTGGGGGCAGCTACAGGTGGTGTATAAAAGGAACTTGGAGGTAGGGCATTCGTAGATGAGTGGAGGGCGTGGGGAGACAATGTGCCTTGTGATGCTGATGATTGTTGTTGACGATAATAATGAGATGTGTATGGATTGATATGCTGGGGGAAAGAAGGGTATTGCGTTCTTTGTGCTTGTTGTGATGCTTGTTGATTATAAGTTGATGCTTGAGAGAACTGCTGCTGCATGCCGTTGGATCCAGAACCATTCATGGAGGTCAAAGTCGTCAAAGCTGGGCTAGATAGGACTTCTATCAGACAAAAGACGCTTAGGAAAGACAAAAACGTGCTCAATAATCATTTGTTGTGAAGGTGGAGAGTGTTGCTGTTGCTGGTGACTCTGCTGTTGCTGAGGTTGAGTTTGTTGCAGGTTTTGCTGTTGTGAAGACGATGCTGTTGCTGAGCTTGTGGTCGCCCCGTTGAGTGTCGAATAATTTGACACTGGAACAGGATTCGAGGTCGACCAAGGCGCACCGTACGCCATGGTCTGGAAGGGCATGAAGTAATTAGGTTGATATTGGGCATAAAAAGCCTGGGGGGATGCAGACAAGAGAGCGGAAGCGGAGCTCGGACCTGTTGAAAAAGGATCGGTGATCAGTGTCGTAAGATAAGAAGACAACACGACGCGGGTGCGTGTGCGGCACAGCAGACGGTCGACGTCGGTACTCACCCGCCATATCTCCTAGAGTCGTGAAATCGCCCAAATCTATTCCTGAGGAGGGAGAAGTTGGAGAGCCGGCAGAAGCGACACTGCCTGTTTGGGGAATGGACATGGAACGGTCCTTTGTCCAGTCATCAAGGGTGGTCGATGACGAGGCTCTCGGTTCATGCTGGACGTGCTGGGACGATTCTGGCATGATCTGTGAAGACTGGAGCCACTGGGGATACATATCCATCGCGTCTCTCTTTTTTTTTTAATCTTCGGGCTCAGCGAAGGTAGGCAACTATAAAACGGGCTTATAGAAGGCAAAAAGGGCGAATCTGGAACAAAACCACACTTCTCCGCTCGCTACGGTGAGTGTCTTTGAGGACAGCGTGACCGACGTGGGCAACGATGACAGAGTTACCCTGAAGTTTACCTGCTGCGTCGTTGGTCAGAATGCTTCCTCTGGCACCAAGAAGTAACCCAACATTTAATCACCGCTTCAAACTCCGATTTTATCTCACGGATCCTGAGACATTTGTAAAGGTCAAGGCAAAGTCCACAAAAAGTCAACAGAAAAAGTCAACAAGAAACAAAACGAAACAAACTTTGTTGAAAGTCTCAACAAGTCAAACTTTCCACCAAACGCCATTCAAATGTCAACCACCGATATCGCACAGCTGGAACAGCAGAGAAAAGAGGTTCGTACTCGTAAAAATACGCGTATTCGTTGCTCATCACGCGTCTCAGCTCGCCGCTAGCTTCAATGATATCGCTACCGTGCTGAAGCGCAGCTCCGAACTAGCAGCGTCTTTTGCAGAGAGTATCCTCGGCAGCGACGCGTTTGAGGTGCTCCAACATTTGCAACAAAGTATTTATTTTCTTTTTCTCCACCGCTCTGACCCAGTTTGACTCGTTCCTTCCAGGTGCGGACCCTGCTCCCACTAAAGGGAAACGCAAGGCCGCCGTTACAGAGGACGAACCTCTCGACGGAACCAAGAAGAGGAAGCGCATCATTAAACCCAAGGATCCCAACGCGCCAAAACGTCCTGCATCGTCCTATATCTTGTACCAGAACAATGTCCGGAAGGAACTCAAAGAGCAACACCCAGAAATGAATAACGCGGACCTCTTGACCATGATATCTGAACAATGGAAGAACATGACAACCGAAGAAAAAGATGTAAGACGCGTTGTGCAACTCCATCTCATCTAATATCTCCATTAGAAATACAACCAAGAGAACAAAGTTCTGACGCAACAATACTCAGAGGAAAAAAAGGCTTACGATAACCGTACTCCAGAAGAAGTCCAGGCTGCTAAAGCCGCTGCTGAAGTCGCGCTTGCCGTTCGTACTTGTACATTTTTATCCTCTCCCCCCGCCTGAAACACGTGCCCAGACGAAAAAAGAAAAGAAACCAAGAGCACCCCGGACCACCAAACCAGCAGCAGCGGCAGTAGCTCCTGCAGTCGTGCCCACTCCGGCTCGTCCACCACCTGTTGTGGAAGCATCACACAGCTCTGGGTCGGAAGACTCCTCGGATGAATCAGACGATGAAGAACCACACCCGATTGCGCACCTCCCCGTAAGCAGCGACTCGAGCGATGAAGAGTCATCGGAGCCTACCCCAAAAAAGAGAAGAGGCGCATCCGCTCAACCCCGACCTACCGCTTCCAAACCCAAAAAGAGCTCAAAAGTCTGATAATGCTCGTGACGGATATATAGTGTGACAAGGACAGTGGACCGGTGAAAGTGGTTTGGCTACGATCTGACAGTATTTGCCTCCAATCATTCTTCTTCGCTATTCTAGTTTTACTTAATTCTCCCCTCCCACATATTAATTAGGTTGTTTTTTGCATCTACTCTTGACTGGTGTCACTGTATTTTTGGACACCGTAATCGTAATTTTGGCTTCTGCATGACGATTTTCTAAGTTTTTCCAACCGGCAAAAGATCTCGAATTCTCATCTCTTTCCTTCTTCTGCCACGTCGATGACCACAGCTCTATACGACTCACAGAGAAACCCGGATGACTACTAGCTTCCTCCTGGCTGGATTACACAATTCAACTTAAGGTAATTTCTGTTCCCACTGTTCGTTCGAACAAACGCTCATCACATCCTTTCAGTTCTCAACTGCTAAGTTGATCTCTGGATAGCTGCCAACATCAACTGGTTGCGAGAAGGAACTTCCAAGATTAGCTGACCTCGGGCACGTGGAGCGCCTGTTCTCAAATCATAGTGCAAGGGAACAGCTTGAAGTTGATATTATTGTGTGAGTGAGAATAACTTTGTGTCGCCAACCTCGCTGATCTTTCACTGTCACTAGTGCATCCCCTCTGTCAGATAGTTCCCATCCTTCCAGCGTTCATAACCGTGTATAAAATGGTGAGTTATTTTCCACACATCAACTGTCTCTGCGTCACCTAATCTCCACAATGATCGTGCCAAATTAGACACACTCTACGACCTAAAAACGATTCAATCAACTCAACTTCCATCGTAAGATACAAGTCAGATAGACCTGGTTGCTTTTGAGTTGACCGGCGATTGTGCGAGGGGTTCCACCCTCGAACGTAAAACTTCCGAAGAAGTGCTGTATCATCAGATCCACCGCAACAAATCATCACCAGGGTGAGTGACTCGTTTTCAGTGAGATTTATCGATGACTTGCTTCTTCAAATTCTTGTCATCCAACCAGGGAGAGCCCCTTGTCGAAATTGCGACGCAATACTTGACCAATAAAGTGGTTACCGCGCTCAAGCCCATGAAGGCTGAGGCGTCTCAAGAACTTTTCGACCTGTTTAATAACAACGACTCAGTGATCAAAGGCACCACTGGCACCCTGTTGGTCCTTTTATGGCTTTTTTACGCGAGGCGGCTTGTCGAATTGAATTTCTCGAACGGATGAGACGAGGAGACGAGGCCTGAAGATTCAGCTACCACTTGAAGATACGACATTTAGAGTCAACAAACAAGAATGAATGGCTCAATGTAGACCTTCCTGGCCTCCCCTCCTCTCTCGATAACTGGACATTCAAGAAATCGAGACCTGTGTGTTCTCTTCGGCTGACTCGGTTAACCCGGTCACTGAAGCCACTTTCGACTCGTTCTACTATATGATGCCAACAAGCCACACTGATTCAACTCACACAAGCGATACTAAGTACTCAAGCAATTCAAAGCGGCGAAGGGTGGTGACGGAATCACGGAGTGAATTTGACTTGCTTGTTCCCACAGGGATGACTTAGTGAAGGAAAAGTATCACCTTGTGCTATAAGTGTTGACCTAACCTTGTTCACACTTTCCCTACTACTGTAGTTTTGGCAATGACTACTTTTTAGCCAGGCCTCTCCACATTTACGAGTTGAGAGTAGCTTTACCAGATTCACCGCACTCCGGCTTGTCTGTTCGCTCGCTTTCACCGCTCGCCTTCACCGCTCGCCTTCCCCCCACCCACCCACGACACCCTCCTCGCCGTAATCGTAAGTCCGTCGGATCCTGGCTTCCGGATGAGGATGACGCCGATTGGATAAGGCTGCGTGATGCTATACAGCCAAAATTAAGCCAAAGGATGTCTAAGTCACTGATAAAGGATCGCCAACGCTCGCTCCTCTCCTTCCTCAACCACATCCGACATGTCTACACCTCCCCCATATGAATCACAGAGAAACCCAGATACCCGCCAGCTCCCTCCTGGTTGGGTCTCGCAATTCGATTCAAAGTGAGTTCTGTTTTCTAATGGATCAAACGAACGCTCATCAGCTCCTGTCAGTTACAAGACTTGGTACGCTGTATTCCGTATAAGTTCCATAGCTGGTTCATTTCCTCACGTTTTTCCAGGTTCTACGTAAATACCAATGCCAGTCCACCAGTAACAAGCTGGGTGCACCCACTCGGCGCAGCGCCACCACCTGGTCCACCGCCCGCTCCTCATTCCCCTCCTGCAGGCCCTCCCCCTCCCACGAACACAGGGTATAACCAGGGCAGTGGCGGGCAGGGATATGGGTACAGTAACCCCCAAGGCGGATATTCTCCTAGTTACGGTGGTGGTGGAAACAACTTCCCTCAGCAGCAACAACCACCATACAATAGATACGATGGCGGATCCTCTCCACAAAACTGGCAGCAGCCACCACAGCAGGCGCAACAGGGCGGAAAGGGCATGATGGGTTCGTTAATTAGTCGCTTTCCAGCATACGTCATCTCATTAAGCAACCCTTACCTTACCTTATCAGGTGGTTTGCTTGGCGGCCTTCTTGGTAAACACGGCAGCAGTGGGGGCTCGTATGGTGGTGGTGGCTACCAACAACAACCGCAGGTGGTATACGCCCAGCAGCAGAAGCCGCCCAAGAAATCTGGGTTCGGTATGGGAGGGATGCTCGCTGCCGGTAAGCCATTCACTCTCATCAGCTTAGATTCCTACCCTGACATGGTCATATTTCTAGGCGGCGTTGGTCTTCTCGGAGGTGCACTGCTCGAGAATGCATGGGAGAACCACGAAGAGCGGGAGCGGGATGATGCGTTCCTCGAGGGTGAAGCATACGCCAATGGTGGTCTGTTGTCAACTCTCATTCCCTGACTTCTGACCGTTTACTGATGACACTTGTAGATGATGGAGGCTTCTTCGATGACGCAGGAGGAGACTGGTGATCATTTGAGATTTGCTGGTGCATCGTCTAGCAGCTGCCCTTGTTCGTTGTAATACCACTCCATCTCTTTATATATATATTACTCAAAGGTTCCGACAATCTCACTTCAATGTTCAATCTCACTTCTGTAGTGGACAAGGCTGGGTGGTATTATACAGAGAATATTATATACAAATGCTGTGCCAATGTCAAGATTCTTCCCAATATTTACATGTAAGTTAGAGTGCTACAAAAAAATTACTCCAGGATGAAGCAAATCAAATACACACACAGGTCCTAGGGCTATGTGGCTGCTGGTTTGAATTTCGATTTAGGTTTTGATGCAGGTTTTGGTGTCACGGCAGGCATCGAAGGGGCTTGAAAGGCGAACCGCGAAGCAAGTGCAGGTGGGTCAAACACTTTCACAGCGGATCTAGGCCATCGATCAGTCACCGAAGTGAAGCGTTGTCATACCACTCACTTGGGAGCCGCACCAACCCTGTGTTGTACGCAGAGGTTCAAAAACTGTGAGCCGTACTTGTCAAACTGCTCATCGGCATAACGCTTCGCTGCATCCTCGTTCGCAAAGTACTCTTTCACGGTCTCAACAACGTTTTGTCGGAAGGAAGCATAATCTTGATAGGATTTTTTTCAGAAATATGCAGAGATCATGCCAAGTAAGTAATCACCTGAAGGAACGATAGTGCTCAAGATTCCGAGCACCTCATCATCGAAGACATCGTCGTCCTTCTTAAGGTGGTTCTGCCTCTTAATCTGCAGCCGAGTTAGATGACAAAATCAAGGGTTATAGATGCAACTAGGTGGGCTCACGTCATCACGGAGTGCCAACATCTTATCATATAGGGTCGACGGAACATCTTCAACCGGTGTATTACCGATCTCTTCCGGACGACTGCGCGACGCAGGTTTCGATCGAGCTTGTGCACGGGTAGCTATTCGGGAGGATCCAGCAGCGGGAGAGCCCTTCATGGCAGCGTCGCCATCAGAAGCATACGGTGAATCGTCATCGTAAATTTCGATAGGATCGTCAACGACTTCTCGGAGCTTTCCTTTGGTTTTCTTTGCCGGACCTTTGCTCGAAGGAGCTTGCTTTTTGGGCACTCGTCCAGATTTATCAGCTTTGGGTTGGTAGTTGACAATCAGCTCTGAAACACGATCAAGCATTTTGGCCTCTGGCCCAATCTAAAGTCATCTGTTAATCAGTCATAAAGAAGACGCAATTTGAAGCGTAATGAACCTGCAGGTACGCTGTGTGAAAGCCTCTAGCATTCATTACGGAATAGTCCGAGAGAATTTCGAGATACTGGAGGCGATTCAAGATCAACTCAAGCAGTTCGGACGGCATGTCCTTTGCCAAGCCGTAGCCAGGCAACTGGTCCAGTTGCTTGCTCCTATTCTCCTTGGTGTTGGCACCCCGGAGAACTGATGCTAGCTGAGCCATGGTCATTGTTGCGCGAGTGTCATTGACCACCTGCACTAGCTTAACGATTTTTTTGGCCGTGTCGAGAACGTCTTCAGCAACCCTTCCCTCCGCAGCCTCACAGTTATCGCAACCTTGGTGACAAAGTCGTTTGTCGAACTTCTCGTCGAAATACTGCAGAACTTGGACACGCCGGCAATCCGTCGTATTTTCGCAATACCGGAAGACGGCTTTCGCGGCCTCCTCTTGACGTTTGATTGATTCCTCCGTGGCGTTTTCGTCTTTGCGGATCATGTTACAGAAAGCTTTGTAGTCCTGAAAACTTGAGTCTTGATGATCATAATAGGACATCAAGCACAAATTTGAGGAAAAACTAGACTTGAAGTACTCACAAAGGACACAGTCTGCAGGCAATCCATCACGACCAGCCCTGCCTGTCTCTTGGTAGTACCTTGAGTGAGAATAGGTTAGTTATGCAGGAGCCAACAAACATCATTATAGCTACCCCGACAAGGACTTGGGCAGATCATGGTGAATAACGAATCGAACTGTACAAGCAGTCAGAAATCCTCCAAGAACGCATGAGCATGTTCCTACCGTCAGCTTTGTCAATGCCCATCCCAAACGCGATCTGTTTGTGACGGTATCAGCAAATCAACTCCATATGTGGAGGCGTCGATGCATACTGTAGCAATGATAATGAAAACCTTGTCAGTCCGCCATGCATCTAGAATCGAGTCCTTTTCTTGAGTTGCAAGACCAGCATGGAAATGTGTGGCCTTGAGTCCTTTATTTTGGAGAGTTTCAGCGAGCTCCTCGCACTTTTTCTTCGCTCGGCAGTAGATGACCCCTGATTTGCCAGGATGTTTTGAGTTGATAAAATTGACAATGTCGTCGACATAATGCCCCTTCTTGCTTTTGATCACGTATTTTAGATTCGGGCGGTTGAACGACTGAGTGAAGCTAGCGTGGTCGTGCAAGTGGAGTTGTGTAATGATATCGTCTACCGTTACTTTGTTCGCAGTGGCGGTCAAAGCCATGATAGGAACGTTTGGATATAGATTTCGAAGCATGCCCAATTTTTGATACTTTGAAAGAACAAATATAAATGGGACCATTTGAAAAACTAAATGGAGAACGTACCGCTTCTCTGAAGTCTTGCCCCCAAGTTGATATGCAATGCGCTTCGTCTACCACGAAGCGTGCGATCATCCCCTGTTTATATAGTGATGTGAAGACGCCTTGCGCATACTGATTATCATGCAGCTTCTCTGGTGTCACATACAATATCTTGACAGTGCCATTGAACAAGCTCGCACGATCCAGAGGAACTTCTTGATTGCACAGAGCAGCTTCGACGCCTCTTTGTGATAACGCATGGACCTGGTCTTTCATCAAAGCGAGCAGAGGTGAAACAACAATGGTAACACCGTTGGTGCAAACAGCAGGCAATTGATAACACAGACTCTTGCCACCACCCGTAGGCATAAGAACGAATACGTCTCTGCCCTCCATTGCAGCAATGATCGCCTCAAGTTGGTTTGTTCGGAAGTTCCGAAGACCAAAGGTATCACGAAGCTGGCGTTTGAGTTCTGGGTAATGCCGTGACGACGTCAATGCGGAAGGCACTTTTCTTTCCTTTAATGCTTCATCAGGTATTGTTGGTGCGATTGAAAGTTGGGGTTGACTTTGTCGACCGTTGAGTTCCACCATATCATCATAGATGTCAGGCATGCCAGCCCACAGCATTTCGTCGTCGCTGTGCTCATCGACATCAATGACTGTTTTAGGAGAGGCTGAAAGACTGTCTTGAAACGCTGTCGGTTGCGAGGGAATTTTCTTGATGGAAGACGTCGAGGATTCGGGGAAGACTATTGTAGAGTTGTTTGCCGTCGAGTTCACCAAAGTCATTGAAGATGACGCCGTAGAAACCATCGTAACGTCGCAAGTGAGAGCCGTGGTTGAACAGGGAAGAGCCCGACCAGTCGCTTTACGCCCTTGAGCAGATGTAATAGCGGCTATGCGATCGTCCAGCACCTGTCTGGAAAAAGGTCAACGAAAATTAAAAGTGGAAACAAAATCTTACTTGATGCTTTCCAAGACTGTAATGTCTTTGGTTTTGTCTACACCACTGTGATACTGGACGATTTGTTCCATATTTGAGCGACTAAGAGTGTGGCAATGAAGGAGACATGCAGTGAGCTCCTCGGCAGATTTCTATGTTGTATAAGATGGTGGGGCACGAAGTCAACAAGGGTCGACTTACCGAATCCAATTTTTCGCGTATGTCGGATGATTTGGGTGGTTCCGGCGAAGCCTCTCTAGTAAGAGGAAAGTCACGATCTAGCTTGGCAAAAGGATTTCGTTCTGGGTCCAGAGTCATTTTTAACCAGGGTTCGTCATCTTCAGCACGAGCTTTCCCTTTCCCCTTATCCTTAGCTGTCCGACTGACTTGAGGAATATTTTCTTTACCAGCAGCGACTGACTTCCTGGGCTTCTTGAAAACCTGAGGGGATGAATCTGAAGCGAATGCTGGATCAGAAGACGTCCTTTTGATACTACTGCGGGGCGACGAAGGATTTGAGTCGGAAATGTAAACGACTTCACGCTTTTGAGCGGGTGCAGGTGTGGCATGAGATGCATCCGCATGAAACCGAAACCCAGGAGTATGAAATTGAGGCAAGCCGTTCGTTTGCGTTTTGCGGGCTGGTTGAAATTGTCAACTTCGTTGATGATGAGATATGCATCATCACTACCTGTAGGATTGGCAGCCGCTGGAGCTGACTTAAACCCCTAATAATCCTTAATCTGGCTTTCTCGAATCAATTAAAGCAACTTGAAGTACCTTGGGTGGGGCGGAAACTGATGATGAAAGAGGCGGTGGGAACGTATTGGTAGGAATACGACGCAGAACATCTGCAAGGTTATTCTTTACCGCAGACGTCGGTGCATCACGCGTTATTCGGTTTTTAGGTTGTTCTGAGGCCATTTGAGGAGCCCAAGGACATCTGGGCGTCGTAGACAACGGTGGAGACCTTTAGCTCTTGAGGCACAAACTGTGTATCACGCGTGTGACAATGACAACGTGACAGCCGCGTCAATCACGTGAATTTATGCGCGCGCCTCGAAGTTGAAGTCAACT